ACATCTGACAAGGGCACAGTGTCGAGAACATAGAAAGAACGCTTAGAACTTGTCTTAGTTTGCTCCGGCTGCTGTAACCGAGTGCTACGGGCTGGGCAGCTTGAAGGACGATCATTCACCTACTGCGCTTCTCTCAGTTCTGGAGGCTGTGAGGCCCTCGACGTGCAGACCACAGCCTCCGCGACGGAGCAGGGAGCCGCGGCTCCTGTCGCTCTTACAAGGGCTCTAATCCCATCACAGGGCCCCGCTCACGACTGTCTTATGGTTATTAAAAGAGGTTTGAGTAAGTACCAGGAAGTAATAAAGAAGTCGATACTGAATAAATATTTTAAAATGTTGAGTGATCAACTTTTATGAAAAGCCCCTCCTGCATGACTTTCCTCTTCCTTAAGGAAAAATGTACCTGAGTACTGGGGTTCTGGGTCAGGGCTAGTTTGTGATAAGGGACGGAAAGGAAGAATTCATGTGTTGAGATGAAAAAGTGTAGCTCAGCTAGATAAAAATGAAGAGAAAAGATTCCAGGTGTCCTGGTTTCATTGTGCTTCTGTCCTCAAGTCTAAGGCAGACCGTTTGCCTATCCTTTTTCCATAGTCCATGAAGGTTCTTTATCTCACAACTTGCTCAGCTTCCCTGTCATTCCCTCTTACCTGCATTTATCCTTTCACCTATCCCTGATGTACAAGATGAACTGTAGTTAGCCTGTGTCTACCACATCTTCTACCACTTTGTCTGTCCTTCCTTATTTATTCCTCTTTTTCATTTTCAGTCAGCATTGATCCCTGTATTTCTTGAGATATCTGTTTCCTGTAGTTCTCTTTTCATGTAACAACAGTTCTTTCTCCAGGATCAAAGGACAGATGATATTGACAGTTTGTGTTTATTTCAGAATTGGAGGCCAGGCCTGAGAAGACAGGTATGCATTTAAACCAGGAAATTTATGAAGAGATGGAAACACAAGACATGGTCACAGCAGGATCTAAGCCAGTGAAAGCTGGAAAGATGAGATGAATTTATGCAGACTTGAGGAAGTTTGAATTTGAAACAATCTCATCTTGAGAAGACTGCTTTTAGGCCAATGACTGTTATCCAGGAGGAAATCTCTACAAAAGAGAAAATGTGGGAATGTAACAAGTTGGACAAAATGTGGAATCTGAGCTCAGATGCTGTATCATTTCAGGAGTTTCATGCAAAAGAGATTTCCAGGCAGTTAGATATATGTGATCAAAACTTCAATGAGCATTCAGATGACAATGACTATCAAGGAATTCAGGTGTTAGAAAAAACATGTAAATGCACTGAATCCCAAAGTATCTGCTGTTGCAAAAAACTATTAATGAAAAGCAGCACATTCGAAGGAGAGGGAAGCTTTATGCATGATGTACATGAGGGAAAGCCTTCAAATGGAGTACTGACCTCATTAGACATCAGAGCTACCATACTGGAGAGAAACCCTATGAGTGTATTAAATGTGGAAAAGGTTTCACCCAGTTCCCTAACCTTATTCAACATTACGGAGTTCACACTGGAGAGAAGGCTTTTCAGTACAGTTATTCTGGAAGAGACTTTATTCAGATCTCTAACTTTATTCAACATTACAGAGTTTATACTGGAGAGGAGCCCTTTCAGTGCAATGATTGTGGAGGAGCCTTTTTTCAGATCTCTAAGCTTACTCAGCATCAGAGAATTCATACTGGAGAGATACATTATGAATGTAATGATTGTGGGAAATCTTTTAGTGAGTGCTCAATCCTTATTGAACATTACAGAATTCATACTGGAGAGAAATCTTATGTGTGCAATGAATGTGGAAAAGCCTTTGTTCAGGGCTCAAATCTTAGTCCGCATCAGAGAATCCACATAGGAGAGAAACCATATGAGTGTAGTGAGTGTGGGAAGGCCTTCAGGCAAAGCACCAATCTAACTCAGCATCTGAGAACCCATAATGGAGAGAAACCCTATGAATGTGGTGAATGTGGGAAGGCCTTCAGGCAAAGCACCAATCTAACTCAGCATCTGAGAACCCATAATGGAGAGAAACCCTATGAATGTGGTGAATGTGGGAAGGCCTTCAGGCAAAGCACCAATCTAACTCAGCATCTGAGAACCCATAATGGAGAGAAACCCTATGAATGTGGTGAATGTGGGAAGGCCTTCAGGCAAAGCACCAATCTAACTCAGCATCTGAGAACCCATAATGGAGAGAAACCCTATGAATGTGGTGAATGTGGGAAGGCCTTCAGGCAAAGCACCAATCTAACTCAGCATCTGAGAACCCATAATGGAGAGAAACCCTATGAATGTGGTGAATGTGGGAAGGCCTTCAGGCAAAGCACCAATCTAACTCAGCATCTGAGAACCCATAATGGAGAGAAACCCTATGAATGTGGTGAATGTGGGAAGGCCTTCAGACAAAGCACCAATCTAACTCAGCATCTGAGAACCCATAATGGAGAGAAACCCTATGAATGTGGTGAATGTGGGAAGGCCTTCAGACAAAGCACCAATCTAACTCAGCATCTGAGAACCCATAATGGAGAGAAACCCTATGAATGTGGTGAATGTGGGAAGGCCTTCAGACAAAGCACCAATCTAACTCAGCATCTGAGAACCCATAATGGAGAGAAACCCTATGAATGTGGTGAATGTGGGAAGGCCTTCAGACAAAGCACCAATCTAACTCAGCATCTGAGAACCCATAATGGAGAGAAACCCTATGAATGTGGTGAATGTGGGAAGGCCTTCAGACAAAGCACCAATCTAACTCAGCATCTGAGAACCCATAATGGAGAGAAACCCTATGAGTGTGGTGAATGCGGGAAAGCCTTTAGACACACTTCACACCTCAGTCAACATCAGAGAACACATGATATTCATCTGGTCGTGGATAACAAAAGAAAGCTCTGTTTATGTAATGAATGTGGCAGGGCCTCTAACCAAAATGCACATGTTATCCAACATCGTAGAATTCATACTGGTGAGAAACCCTGTGAGTGTAGTGCATGTAGGAAAGCTTTTGGTGCACAATCAACTCTTATTCAGCATCGTAAAATTCACGCAGGAGAGAAAACTTACAGATGCAGTGAATGTGGGAAAGCCTTTAGGCAGAGGACCCAACTTACTGAACACCAGATAATTCATCTGGAGAGAAACCTTATGAATGCAGCAAGTGTGGAGAAGCCTTCACTCACAGTTCCAATCTTTTTCCACACCAGAAAATTCACATGAAAAAATTATCTTAAGTAGGATTTCCCTCTCAAACCTCATGAGGAACAGTATTCCTTTGCCTCAAATGGCATTTTCATGATTCTAACATTGCTCCTGTTGACTACCACACCAATAGACAAGAATAAGAAAATATCAAATCTTTAATTTCATGGCTATATGAACATGATTGTAGAAATGGTGGGGGGCAAAGTCCAGCCAGGTGGCCGTCAGTCAAGTTGTAGTCTGGTTTTGTAGTTCCATTTTATTTCTAAGTAGCTTCGTGAGCCCAAGGAGATTCTGATTGTAATTTGTGGTTGTTCTGCAGGAGAAGCAGTACCCAAACTGTCAGCAAATCCTATCAGCTGTATCTGCAAAATATTCCAAATCAGAGCATTTCTCTTCATCTCCAGCCTGTGATACCGTTATCTCTCCTCTCACTATTTCGATGGCCTAACTGGTTTCCCGGCCTCACTTTTGCATCCTAAGATCTGCTCATGCCGTATTCACTGGCACTAATATTCTGTGCAGAATCAAGGACCCAGGCCAGGGACTTGAGAATATTTTGAAATAAGTGTATACAACATTCCTCCAATCCTAAATTCAAGTGTTTTCCTTAATCAGCAGGAGTAGTAAGAGCAGTCTGCACCCACACACTCTCAGAATTGAGATGTATCGAGGAGTGGGAGGGACTCAAACCAAGCAGGTGCCCCTTCTTGTTGAAGTTCCTTAAAAATTTAGATGAAAGTGAGCTGTGGTCTTTGTCCCCCAAATTGAAGTGATTCAAAATCTGGGAACTGGGCTCTCCAACTAACAATTTGAGAGCCGAGTTTTACAAGCAGTCGTCAAGGAAGGGAGTACAGACACACGGCCAAGCATGTGGGGTGTAGCCTAAGCACTAAGGAGGGGGTCTCTAGACTCATAGTGTCAAAGACACTATTGTTACATGTGTCCTTGAGACATTTCCTACAGGGAATGAGACCCAAGTTTTCCCACCAGATGAAAGTGCTGACCAAATGTGGACAACAGGGACACCAGACTGAGTGGAGCCAGAAGGAGGCAGACAGTGTCGCAGAGCTCTTCCTCTGTCTTCTGAGACAAACATCCACAGGCTACTCACCCATCCCCAACCCACAAGATTTTCCCTTAAAGGTCCTTGCTTGGGTTTTCCCCCCACCATTTGCTACCTCTGCTCCAGTTGCTCAGCCTTGAAATTAAACACCTGATTTCCCTCACTGCTTCCCAGTATCAGTGTCTTTTCCTAGCTGCACTCAGCTGAGAAGACCCAAGTTTGGTTTGGTAATAACAGTTATACCTGGTTAACGACCTCCAGTTTTATTATGGAGCTAAACCCATCAACAAATAATATTCGACCAAGGCTCTCAGTGGGAGTTACTAATCAGATTAAGAGATGCACAGAATTTTCTATATTCTGATGAAACAATTCCAGGCACAGTCTTGCTATTTAAGCAGTTCTCCTGCCTGTCACATTATGCATCACACATTAATTTTGATCTCACCGGGAACTTGAATTCATTGTCAAATTAGCTCTTTTCATATTAACGGGTCTAGATTATTATGTGTAGTTATTTTATCAGAAGGTGCAAAGAGGCAACTTGAAATGACTAAACAGTCAAGGAAGCCACAGCCTGATGACACAAGAAGACTGGCTGTGAATGGATCCAGGCCTGATTAATTTGGCAGNCTGTGATACCGTTATCTCTCCTCTCACTATTTCGATGGCCTAACTGGTTTCCCGGCCTCACTTTTGCATCCTAAGATCTGCTCATGCCATATTCACTGGCACTAATATTCTGTGCAGAATCAAGGACCCAGGCCAGGGACTTGAGAATATTTTGAAATAAGTGTATACAACATTCCTCCAATCCTAAATTCAAGTGTTTTCCTTAGTCAGCAGGAGTAGTAAGAGCAGTCTGCACCCACACACCCTCAGAATTGAGATGTATCGAGGAGTGGGAGGGACTCAAACCAAGCAGGTGCCCCTTCTTGTTGAAGTTCCTTAAAAATTTAGATGAAAGTGAGCTGTGGTCTTTGTCCCCCAAAATGAAGTGATTCAAAATCTGGGAACTGGGCTCTCCAACTAACAATTTGAGAGCCGAGTTTTACAAGCAGTTGTCAAGGAAGGGAGTACAGACACACGGCCAAGCATGTGGGGTGTAGCCTAAGCACTAAGGAGGGGGTCTCTAGACTCATAGTGTCAAAGACACTATTGTTACATGTGTCCTTGAGACATTTCCTACAGGGAATGAGACCCAAGTTTTCCTACCAGATGAAAGTGCTGACCAAATATAGACAACAGGGACCCCAGACTGAGTGGAGCCCGAAGAAGACAGACAATGTCCCAGAGCTCTTCCTCTGTCTTCTGAGACAAACATCCACAGGCTTCTCACCCATCCCCAACCCACAAGACTTTCCCTTAAAAGTCCTTGGTTGGGTTTTTCCCCCACCATTAGCTACCTCTGCTCCAGTTGCTCGGCCTTGAAATTAAACACCTGATTTCCCTCACTGCTTCCCAGTATCAGTGTCTTTTCCTAGCTGCACTCAGCTGAGAGGACCCAAGTTTGGTTTGGTAATAACAGTTATGCCTGGTTAATAAACTCCAGTTTTATTATGGAGCTAAACCCATCAACAAATAATATTCGACCAAGGCTCTCAGTGGGAGTTTCTAATCAGATTAAGAGATGCACAGAATTTTCTATATTCTGATGAAACAATTCCAGGCACAGTCTTGCTATTCAACCAGTTCTCCTGCCTGTCGCATTATGCATCACACATTAATTTTGATCTCACCGGGAACTTGAATTCATTGTCAAATTAGCTCTTTTCATATTAAAGGGTCTAGATTATTATGTGTGGTTATTTTATCAGAAGGTGGAGAGAGGCAACTTGAAATGACTAAACAGTGAGGGAAGCCACAGCCTGATGACACAAGAGCCTGCCTGTGAATGGCTCAAGGCCTGACTAATTCAGCAGCTCATGTGCACAGGGATTTTTCCTGAATTTTGCACAATTATACACCCAAAAAGTCAGCTTCATCCCCCTGAAGACTTCCATCATGTAGAGACATGGTGACAGGACCTCCAAAAGTCAAAAGGAGATATTAAAATTGGCTGGGAGAGCAAAGGAGATTATTTTTCTGCGATTCCCTTCTAAAGAACCAAAAAGGCCCCGACCCACCATTTCTGCTCTCATGAGTGCAACTATGTCACTTGTCCACAGAGACACAAATACCTGGTGGGGAAAGTCAGATAGCGTTGGTAAGTCCAGCCTATTTTTAACTTGTAAAATGAGATGACCAGATCCTATTAGATTTAGTCATTTGAATTATTCAGTGGTTTTGTAATTAATCTGCAAAAAAATAAAGCTCTTTAGATCAATAATTATTGCTGTTTATCTTATTCCATATGAAGATATTAACATCAAGATTCTCAATAACAAGTTTTGATTAGCTAATTTTTGTTATGAATATTCATGAGATGCAAAGCTGATTGTCACACCTCATTCTCATGATGTGAGGGCCAGATTCAAACTGGCAGCATGCCCATTACCACAAATTGCATTTGTATCCTGTTTCCCCTACCCAATTGTGCCCAATCTCCCTCTCCCTCTGCCTCCCCCTTACCCCCCACTCCACTTTGTAGCCCAAGGAATGTTCTCTCCCTCTGCAAGTCCAACGCACTACTGTGGTCTTTCTTTCCTTCCTTCTTTCTCTCTTAGAGCAGCTAATCTTAATTATCCCCAAGACCTCATATTCACTAAACAGTTCTTAGTCCTGAGTTTCCTCTATATACTCAATGTGTATAATTGGGCTCTAAATAGAGTAGAAATAAAAACAAAAACAAAAACAAAGCCACTATATTTGCAATGCCACCAACTCAGATGAAATAGACATTAGCCAAGAGCACTGCTCTGTGTCTCTCAGTTCATGTTTCTGTTTTTACAGGGACTCCAGAAAACACCCTCCATTCTTCTCAAATTTTGGCCTCCACTTGCTCCAAGGTCACACTCTGTTCTTAGTTTATAAGTCCTGGTCTCTGGAAGCAGCCGGGAAGAAGCCAGCTGTTGAAGCTTCCCTCTCTCCGTGTAGACACCCTCACCGCTGTCCTTCTCTCTTCCTCTGGAGGTGGCGGCTGCTTCCTCTTGGTGTGTCCATCATTGGTAACCTTCAAAGGCATCTTCTACCTTTAACCCTTCTCTTTTCTCTTTTGCACGTTCCTCTTTTCTATTGCCCCTTCTTACTAAAATTATAACTTGATCCAAGCTACATTTTTATTAATATTATCTACAAATGTGACAATATTCTTCACAAATACTATTCACAAGCTCTTTTTAACCCTATTTTTACAGTGGTTTCAATAAACACCCTCCAGTCTTCTCAAATGTTGGCCTCCACTTGCTCCAAGTTTACACTCTTCTTTCTTAGTCTATACTTTACTGCTGTCTACAGGGAGTCAGGAAGAGACCTAATTTTCACTTTCCTGGGAATGAGCATACCCTAGTAAGCATCCCCACATGTGTAAATAGATGCACACCTATTAGATTTTCTTCTCTATCAGTAAGAATTTGTATCAGTCTCTCACCAGGGCCATGAGCTACCTGCAGGCCAGGTCATGCCCATGTGCATCTGTGCAAGCCTTGGTGGGTGGGTGGTGACTAACAGGCTCACCTGGATCTTGATGTTGTGTGATGTCCTTTGTCCTCCACTGTTTCACAGCGGGTCAGACCTGGTGTCTCCTGTATTACCTACATTCAGGCATCTAGATTATTTGTTATTTAATTCACCCAACTAATATTATTGAATAGCCAGGTTGTAATATGCTGCATTCAAGACTCTGTTCATGAAATGATATGGTGGAAAGGGCT